CTTTCTATCCTACCTCTTTGCCAAGGTGCTGCCGTTGTCACGGAGTGGATTCCGTTCTGCTGCAACATATCTTTCCAGTGCTGACTAACGAACTCCCCTGCAAGGTCATGAACCATCGTTTCTGGGGGACCCGCCCAGTTCATCCAGGTTTCTGTGACTACCTTTTCCGCCTCTTCTGTTCCCCTTAGACATCTCTTTCCCAAATGAAAGTGTGTGGATTCGTCAAAGATGTGGATCACATAGAACTTTTTCCCTTTTTCATTCTTCCATTCGAAACCGTCTATGGATATCACCTCATTGAATTCCTTTGGCTCTTTCAATTTTCCGGGACTTGTCAATTTGGGACCCACTCTCTCTGAACAAGACTGGCACAGATAGTCGGCTGCTCCTTCAATCACCTCATTCGAAAACCTCAGTCTACGAAGATGGGCTGACAATTTTTCTGCTGTTGGATGGCCGAGATTATTGTGCATTCTTTGAATCAAAGACTTCTGGAAGCTATCTAGCTTTAGAAAATTGGGTCCTGAATTGTTCGTCGACTGGGGTGACCATGCTGGCACTGGAGTTCTTGCCAATGCTTCTATTGACTCAGCTCGAATTTGTCCACCCTCTTGGCTGACTCCTGCTTCTGGCTCGGCCGCTTTCGGATCTGAACTGGCTTCTGGAACCTTGCCTAACTGCTCGGATCGAACGGGGTCGAACTGTTTCTCCAATGCTTCATCCGGCCGATTTTCTTTGGTTTCACCTTTTGGTTGTCCGAACAAACAAAGCATGATATGACTAGGCATAGCTGCTCTGCGTTGTTGTCTCAATGTCAACCTGTTCCATTGTTCTTCACCTAGGTCAACTAATTTCTTTGTCTTTCTGCATTGACAGATTGTTTTCCTCATTTCATTGGATGTTTCACCAATTATGTACTTATCCATCCCTTTTCCTGCTATTACTTGTCTTAGGTGAAAGCTACAATGCTTGGCTAGCTCTTCTGCAGGCCAGTCTTGATTGGAGAGTTCAACTGATCCGGACTTTGGCAATCGGTTTTGTAGCCATGCAAAAATCTCTTCCCAAGGTGAACCGGTGAGCTCGGTTGGCTCGGTTTCCTCGGGTCCAACTTTGCGCTTGGCTTCTCGTGGTGGCTCAATTCGTGCGCGTTTTGCAGGATGATCACTCTCACGTGCTTCAACTGGGTAGATATCTTCGGCTTTGTTCCCTTCTTCAACCATGGGAATTTTCGATTTCTCATTTTCCTGCAAAATGCTCTTGGCTGCGGCTTTTGCAAAGACCTTCGGATAAAATGCTGCGAATCTAGACAGTGCAACCCTTTCTCCAAGATACCGGCATGATCCTGCTATCTGTGCATGCGAATGCTCACTTTTACAAAATCTACCATCTAGATTTCTTACAATGCTTTCTGATGTTGTTTGCAATCGAGTATACTTCTTCATCGGTCTTTGATCCTCTGGATGAACTAGACCAAACCTGCACTGATCTAGATGTACGGTCTTGGTTAAATGGTGGATTGGCTCTATCTCTACTTGTTTCCAAAGGTCTGATGTTCCTGGATTCTCCAATGTGAAATGCCTGCCGTTTTGCACTTGAATCTTGCATATGATTGCACACAACTTCATGTGGATCTTGGATAGTTCTCGGCTTCGTTGAATTCGATCGTACTGAATGGTACTTCGGCTGGCATTAAATCGGTTCCAGGCACACCATGGATGGCACTCGGGTGCTACCCATATTTGCTTAGGTCGCAGTCGAAAGATCATCTCGAGCAATTGCACCTGTCCCTGGAATGTCGACAAATCACCATGTTCTCTGGTGAACCTTTCAGCCCTCCCCCCTTGACGTGTCACCTCTTCTGCTAATCTACTCGTCGGTTGTGCATAGACCTCTAACAAGTCAATTTGCTTTCCATAGGACTCTTGCTTGCTTGCTTTTAGTAGTTTAGCTTCGAACTCATTCTCAACAGTTATTCGACTGTCTGTCAGGAGGGTTTCCCATTCTACATTCCCAACTGGAGCTGGTGTAATTGCTCTTCCATCTGCTTTCGAGTCTGGCAGTAACGAGCGAAATCGCTGATTGGGGCATCTAGCGAATTGATCCTGCTCAGGCACCAGGAGACGTACTGACTGTCCATCTCGTACACTTGGGCATACTGTTTGCCCGGATGTTTCTTTCCCCAGGTCACGAGCTTCTGTCCCCATTGATCCATGGCTGTTGTCGTCCAAGCCAAGCTGTGTGTATTGCTTGAGCCTTGAGAACTTTGTCCACGATCGCTGCCTGGACTGTTCGCATGCGATGGGGTGCCAGGTGATGTGATCCCAACCAGACTTGCGACCATCTGACCCGACATTCCGGGGGCTGCGAAGCTTCCTTTGCCAGCTGCCACAGACTTCACTTTCTGTGGAGGGCTCATGGGTGCTGAGATTCTTGCCGGAGGAATCGATGGTTTCCCACCTGTTCGAGCATGTTGGTACACTCGAACTTCTTGATCCCAAACTTCCAAATCGCTTTCCGTCAAAACGACTAGGTCGTCCTCGGGACTTGTCCTCCTCGGAGACGGGCTGTGCTTCATCATGTGCGCCAGCTCCTCGATCTTCTCTTTCTGCGATTGGACTTCCGATAACAATTCGCTCATCATCGATGCCTGATTCTGTGGAACCTCTTGGTTCGATACCTGGGTGGCTACTTGGTTCAGCAGAATGGTCAACAACGTCTGAAGGCTTTGCATCACATTCTCTGCGATGCTCTTCACCATCTGCATCAGCTCGCCACGGGTGGGCATGACGAGGTTCGATCAGCGAACGTGCAATCGACTCACTGCTTGCTCCAAAAATGCTCTGGACATTTGTTGGCATCTGGCACAAATCTGAGAGACGAATCATCAAAAGTCCTGTTCGACCTTCGTGCAACTTGATTGATCTATTTAGTGAGCTCAAAAAACACGAACCCTTCTGCAAATCCATGATGGTTCCTAACTGCTTCATGGCTTGGATTGACAGGAGGAATGGCGTACCTTTTGGAACCACCTCAACGACCAACCACATACGGACCTTTTGTTTGTCTATTGGTATGTGTATCTGTTTGTAACTGTGTTCTATCTGGTTGTTGCCGAATCGAAAAGTCACTCGGCTCGGCTTCTCTTTCACACGATCTCGGACGAAGGTCGGCAACTGTTCTAAGAGCATTTGGAGATGCTCATCTCCTACCACACTCCGGCTCGCTCCTGTGTCCAGGATAGCCATTCCATTCGTTTGGAATCCTGACAAGGATCCGGCTCTATTGGTGAGCCCAGCTGCGATTGAAGCTCTCAGTGGCTCCGGTGCTCGAATGCTTGGTCTCCTGGGTTCATGGCTCAGCACTCGATTCCTACTCATGAAAAATGACATGGTGCGCAACTTGGTGGCTTCGGTAAACAATGCAAACTCACATAAACTGCTCTCAAAACTTGCGTCGGCTTCGAACGAATATCTTTCTTGGCTTGGTTCTATCCGTGTCGTTTCGTTCCTGTTTTCTTTTGACCAAACCCCGACCTCCCCTTCTGACTCAATCTGTTCGAAAAGCACTTGGTCAGATTGGAATGCATCGGCCTCAACGAATGGCGTGGATGCCACATTGGCCTGCGACTCCTTGGAACGAAGGGGACACTCAGCCTTCCAGTGACCGATCTCGCCGCAACGTTTGCAATGGGTCCTTGCAATGCGGCTCAACAACTCTTCCTTTCCTTTGGATTGGCCCTTCTTGAAACCTTTGAACCCTGGAGGTCCATACCCTTTTCCAGACTTGCTGCTTGATGAACCACCCTTCAAAGGCCAAAAGCCTCTATTGCGCTTACGCTCAACAATGCGGCCTCGAGCTTCCTGATAGCTCAACAATGCTGAATGCAAGTCCGGCACCTCTTGAAACAACTCTGTCAACTCTTTCTCAAAACTCTGAACCGTCAACGCGTCAGCATCTCCAGTTGAAGCCAAATGCTCCAACATGTCCGGTGTGAGGTCCTCCTCATCAATACTGGCTGCATAGAGGTTCTGGTCCTGATAGGACAGATCTGTAGCCTCAGTGGTGCTTTCAGTGGACTCTTCCACGAAATTCGTGGGGTACACTTTCTTGCGCTCTGTTCCACCACCAGTCAAAACATTGGTTGAAAGGCTGCGCATAGCATTCTCGATTGCAGTCTTCTCGAACTGTCCGTTCGTGATGGTCAGAACTTTCTTCTTGTCCTCTGGTCCTAGATTGCTCTGCTTCAGAAGGACGAAGGCTTTGATCGACTTCAATGTCGTATCCTGTCCAACCTCTTCAAAAGCAACATCCAACCTGTTTACGAATGACTGCGTGCTTTCGTCTGACTTCTGGGTCGTCTTGTAAATTGCGCGCTCGAACAACTCAAACGTCTTGAGCTCTGCACTCTCCTCCCAGGCTGACAATACCTTGAGCAAATGCTTCACACCTTGGTCAGGATTCGTCAATGCGTCCGGCTCAATCGTCCTGACTTGATGCCATGCAGTCCCTTTGCACAACATAGCAAGGCGTGGCGCCAACATTCCCCGATCTTTCTTCGGGCAAATCCCGTCGAGGAACTTGACTTTTGCAATGTACTCTTTGATGTCATCTTGACCTGGATCGAAGCTAGGCAACAAATTCCAAATGGTGGCAGCTTTATCTTCGGAACCCATGGCTTTACAACGTCCACGTTGAGCCTCCGGGCTCCGCTACCAATGTGACTGGGATTCTCCCAGATCACAAAGGTAGCTTCTCAGCCCTCTACCAACCAACCTACGGGGATCTACCTAGATCAACAGCTCCTATCCAAAGTGGTCCTCCACCCAGTTCAGCGGGCCACCGCTTCTTTTCCTAGCCTTGGTCCTGCATCCGGTGTCGGCCTTGAGCCAAACCATCATTGTGGTTTGCGGTCATCATCTCATGGTTTCATTCGAAGGTGGCTTCACTGGCTTGTCGATTCGATCGATTCACAGCTACACTACATATGAAATATTCATAATAATCGCTTTACATGTAATACTGTAAAATAGTTTATATAGGCACATGTGCGAAAATATGCATATACTGTATGTTACTTCTTGCAATTCATACAGCGCTGAACAACACACAATTGTGCGTATTTCCAGCAGGGAAATCGTTTCAACCATACCACAGTCACAGGAATATTGCTGGGGGGTGTCCCCAGCTTCCCTGTTTTCAACCCTCAGGATGACCGCCATAGGCTAGTGAAGACAGGGGTCCGATCTTGGAGCCTTCTGTGATATTTATTTGGGTTCCATGATCCATGGCATCTTATTTTTTCAAGGGAGGTGGTATGGGAAGCCAAACTCACTGAGAAGTTTTGGGGAAACTTGGAACTCACGTACTGGCCCAGTTCTTTTCATAGGTGCTTCACGGAAGCTATTTGATGGTTTTCCCTTTGGTCTCCGCCGTGACTTTTCGCGGATACCAAACCGTTCTTAGCTGCGTAGGGGCGATAGGTTTCCAAGGCCTAAAGGCTACAGAGTATGGATTTCTCCCGGCAACTTTAGCTCAAGATGTGGCGACTTGAGGCGGAGATCCTGCTACAAAAATCGCACTCACACACTGAATAAGATACTGTAGGTCAGATAAGCAAAGTGTATCAAACTGTTAGATGGAGCCAGTGTGAAGGCTCGAAATGTTGAGAAGCCGTGTTCCACTTTCTACTAAACACCCTGTGCCATTTGTTTTATATTCACCAGTCAGCTTTTAGGGTTCTTGGCTGACGCATCAGATGAGCGTACCAGATTGCAGTTGTGATAAACTCGAATCAGCATTCTGCATTCATGACGAGGGCAGCAACAGCAAGGCCCCTTTTTGCATACATCGTTTTGAAGAAACAATTGATTGAAATCGGAAACGCATCATATACTTGATCAAAGCGTGTTCTCGGCTTCGCCACTACAATTTGCAGCCAGTTGGGGAAGTTTCGGAGATGCTCAACTCACGAGCAATGTCAATTGCTCGGCAGTCCTATGCCACGCTGCACACCACGCGACGCTTGCTTTAGAATCTATAGAAGATACACCAACACATGTGCCGCTCCTGTCAACACGGGAAGACATGTCTTTTTCAAAGTATCCGTTGGCAAATGGTACTTCAGACCATGGTCCTATCAGCTCCAGTCCTCGCCTTGATTTGCAATGCAGTGGGTTTCAGTTCTAACGAGATTGGTGTCCTCAAGGTGGAGCCTCACTGTCTGTGTCACTACTCCCGAAGACGTAGATTGCTTCAGACAGGGCCACGATTACTGCATGGCACAGATTTGGCACATAATCTCTGAATGCAGTTTCACTGCTGGCTAACTCCTGCAACGCAAAAAGAATACACTGAATACACTGTAAAAGCAAGACAAAAAACACACATTATGTGATTCATGCGACCTGTGGGGCTACACAAGCTACAAGAAACGTGTCTTGGACAACAAAATGTTTCTTTTTTCCACTGCTCCACCGCCCCAAAAATAGGCGCACTTGTTTTTGAGCCGCTGGCACCCAGGAACTGCCAATGCTGGCCGCCTGGCAGGGGCCGTGAAGGCGGTGCTTGCGCAGGACCAGGGCTGCGTCCTCCAGGCGGTCGGCCCCGCGGCGCATTCGAAGGCCCTGAAGGCACGAGCTCGGTCGGGAGACGCATCAAAAAAGAAATATAAATGCATCAATAAAAAAATATAAATGCATCAAGAAAAAAATAAAAATGCATCAATAAAAAAATAAAGAAAAGAAACAAAGAAAGGCAAGAAGGCAAGGAAGGAAGGAAGGAAGGAAGGACGGAAGGAAGGAAGGAAGGAAGGAAGGTACGAAGCCAGGACGGAAGGAAGGAAGGAAGGAAGCAAGGAAGCAAGGAAGGATGGATGGAAGGAAGAAAGGCAGCAAGGCAGGAAGGAAGGTTCGCTTTCGGTGGCTCTTGGGTTTTGGTGGCTTTTGCCTTTGGTTTTCGATGGCTTTTGTAGGTGGCCCGCTTGCGGAGCTGTGCTGCCTGCAATGGCAAGTGTTGTCATGTATTCTATGTTAATGCATTGTTTGATGCATCTATGTATTCTATGTTAATGCATTGTTTTGATGCATCTCCCAAAAAACACACACAACAACAAGGACCACTTTTGAACTCCTGTTCTATCCCCCATTTGGCCAGCTACTCAGCGAGCCAGCTTACGGACCTGTGCTGCCTGCAGTGGCCAGGAAAGCTGCAAGTTGACTCACCCTTTGTTGCGCCACCCGAGGGTAAAATTTCGAGAAGAATGTTGCCATTTCAACTTGACTCACCCTTTTTGCGCACAGGGTAAAATTATGAGAAGGAAGTGGTCACTCCAACTTGACTCATCCTTTTGTGGCCAATGCGGGGTAAAATTTAGAGAGGGAAGCGGCCATGCCGAGTTGACCCACCCTTTTGTGGGCCACGCAGGGGTCAAATTGAGAGAAGGATGTTGCCATTTCAACTTGACTCACCCTTTTGTGGGCCATGCGGGGGTAAAATTTAGAGAGGGATGTTGCCCTTCCAAGTTGACTCACCCTTTGGTGAGCCACCCGAGGCTAAAAATTAGAGAAGGATGTTGCCATTTCAACTTGACTCACCCTTTTGTGGGCAACGCAGGGGTAAATTTTAGAGAAGGAAGTGCTCATTCCAAGTTGACTCACCCCTTGGTGAGCCACTGGAGGGAAAAAATAGAGAAGGAAGTGGCCATTCCAAGTTGACTACACTTTTAAGTGAGCAATGCAGGGGTGAAATTTGGAATACGCAGCAACATTCGGGAAAGGGCCTGTGTGCGCACTTGATTCCCCCCGATGGGGTGTGTGCACGCTGAGTCAACAAGTGTGTGCGCAGATGAGGCACAAGTGCTGATAAAATATGCGGCGCCGCCCTTCTGTGAGCCACCCGAATGTACAGTAGTAAAGTTTAGAGCGCAGAAAGCCATTCCATTCTAGCACGCCAGTAAAATTTTGAAGAGGTGAGGCGACCGTAAGGCCCCGGGTCCTTTGGTCCTCTGTTCCCCTGGCCTCTGGATCTGAACCTCTGCAAGATTTAGTGGGTCTCTAGACTCTACACCTCTACACTCCAGATCTGTCTGGATGTCGAGGCCTTTGGATGTCCAGCTTACGGAGCTGTGCTGCCTGCAGTGGCCAGTGTCGTCAGCGCTGTGCTGCTGGAAGTGGCCAGAGTGTTGTGAGCACTGTGCTGCTGCAGGTGGCCAGCTTACGGACCTGTGCTGCCTGCAGTGGCCAGGAAAGCTGCAAGTTGACTCACCCTTTGTTGCACCACCCGAGGCTAAAATTTGGAGAAGGATGTTGCCATTTCAACTTGACTCACCCTTTTGTGCACAGGGTAAAATTTTGAGAAGGAAGTGGTCACTCCAACTTGACTCACCCTTTTGTGGCCAATGCAGGGGTAAAATTTAGAGAGGGAAGCGGCCATGCCGAGTTGACTCACCCTTTTGTGGGCCACGCAGGGGTAAAATTTAGAGAAGGATGTTGCCATTTCAACTTGACTCACCCTTTTGTGAGCCACCCGAGGTTAAAAATTAGAGAAGGATGTTGCCATTTCAACTTTTTGTGGGCCATGCAGGGGCAAAATTTAGAGAAGGATGTGGCCCTTCCAAGTTGACTCACCCTTTAGTGAGCCACCCGAGGCTAAAAATTAGAGAAGGATGTTGCCATTTCAACTTGACTCACCCTTTTGTGGCCATGCAGGGGTAAAATTTAGAGAAGGATGTTGCCCTTCCAAGTTGACTCACCCTTTGGTGAGCCACCCGAGGGTAGAATTTAGAAAAGAAGTTGCCATTTCAACTTGACTCACCCTTTTGTGGGCAGGGTAAAATTTAGAAAAGGAAGAGGTCATTCCAAGTTGACTCACCCTTTGGTGAGCCACTGGAGGGTAAAATTTAGAGAGGGAACTGGCCATGCCAAGTTGACTCACCCTTTTGTGGGCCATGCAGGGGTAAAATTTAGAGAAGGATGTTGCCATTTCACCTTGACTCACCCTTTTGTGGGCCACGCAGGGGAAAAATTTAGAGAAGGATGTTGCCCTTCCAAGTTGACTCACCCTTTGGTGAGCCGCCCGAGGGTAAAATTTAGAGAAGGATGTTGCCATTTCAACTTGACTCACCCTTTGTGGGCAATGCAGGGGCAAAATTTAGAGAAGGAAGTGCTCATTCCAAGTTGACTCACCCCTTGGTGAGCCACTGGAGAGTAACAAAAATAGACAAGGAAGTGGCTATTCCAAGTTGACTACCCTTTTAAGTGAGCAACGCAGGGTGAAATTTGGAATACGCAGCAACATTCGGGAAAGGGCCTGTGTGCGCACTTGACTCCCCATGGTGGGGTGTGCGCACGCTGAGTTAACAAGTGTGTGCGCAGATGAGGCACAAGTGCCGATAAATGTGTGTGCGCAGTTGAGTTGAATCCGTGTGCGCGGCTGCGGCGCCGCCCTTCTGTAAGCCACCCGAATGTACAGTAGTAAAGGTTAGAGGGCAGAAAGCCATTCCATTCTAGCACGCCAGTAAAATTTTGGAAGAGCTGGATCTGAACCTCTGCAAGATTTTGTGGGTCTCTAGACTCTACACCTTTACACTAGATCTGTCTGGATGTCGAGGCCTTTGGATCTTTGTAGATGTAGGCGTCCTGTTCTCAACCGTGACCTCTTGAATCTCCAAAACCTGAAACACCTTATCTTTTGAATTCTTGGCAATTTCGAACCGAACACAGAGGGCAGAGGCCGACCGTTGTAGGTTGGTCTCGACCCAAGGGCCCTACAGGACAATCCAAGGTATCCGTGTAGGTTGATTTAGTTTTTTTTTTTGATGCGTTTTTGTTTTTCTTTTGATCACTGCTTCGAGTTGGACTATTGCGCTTCCCTCCACTCGTTTGGGTCCGTTTATTTTTTTATTGATTCATTTTTGTTTTTTTCTTGATACCCTGAATTATATTTGTTTTTTGATGCATTTTTTTTTTGATCCCTTGCCCAGCTCGGTCGGTGGGACTTGGAGGTTTCGGCGAGAGGGTCTGCTGAGCCGGTTTGATAGAGCTTGCTGCAGAGCAAAGGCAACCACCGATTGGGGGCGGCTAGGAACAAGGCAACAAGATGGCTTGACCTGCCCAAGATGAGCGAGAGAGAGAGAGAGAGAGAGAGACGGAGAGGGAGAGTAGTAGGGAGAGTAATGTATAAATGCAATGATTCCAATTGCCACGACTTTCATGGAAGTGATAACGTGTTGAGCCGCAAGCATGACCCAAGCATCTCGCAAATACAGCCTTCTGAAGGCCTCTTCCGCCCCTGGCGGGCGGTTGCGTCCTTCTCACCATAGGCTTCGTGTGTGTAGGGGTTGCTGACGGTTCATCCGTTACAATGTTAAGGGCGCCTCGTTGAGGCAGCGAGAGAGCTAAGCCCACACGGGGAGAGAGAGAGAGAGAGAGATGGATGAGATGAGATGAGATGAGATGAGAGGGTCTTTGTGAAAGGTACGTGCTTGAAGTCCATTGTAATCTTTACAATACATTGGAGGAACTGGGCCAAAAGTGCGAGTTCATGTTGGGTCGCCGCTTGAATGTTTTGACGCTCCCTCATCGAGGAAAGCAAGGTTTGGGTACCCCCCACCAACTTGCAAGAAGCGGCCAACGTTTCCTGGAACATCCTGGAACGTGCTTCATCTGTGCAAGCTATTACCCCTGCGAACCCAGATGCCCAAGATCAAAGCTCTGAACAATTAGAAGAAGAATCCCCCAACGAGTCTGCTTTGGATGGTCATTTTTAAGTTCAAGGCCTCTTGCCCAAAAATGAGGCCCTGTAGCAAATAGTAGTAGAGGTCCATCGTCTTTGCCATCCGCGAGGCGATGGTTTATGCCACTGACTTCTTTGAGAAGGACCGCCCTGGCCTTTGTGTGGCAGCAGACCCCCGCGTGCACCAGGCAGGACACTGACCTGTGACTCGAGCGGACGCGGGTCTCCACTGACATCGGAGTTGCACTGCACTTGGACATAGATTCCATGTGCCTGGTATGATTGGAATGGTGTGTGGCAGCAGAGAATGCCAAAGCCATCATCCTGACGGCGAAGAGTTGCTTAGCGTACCATGGAGATATAGAAGGGACAGATGTTTGACACCGGCATCATGATGGCACAAGGTAGCATGCAGTATTGAGCAAGTAATCTGCAGAACCGGCTATCCAGCTCAAGCTTCTGGTTCCATACCATGGTGCTCAAAACCCATGGACGGGGACAGAAAACGTTTGGACGCCCATGTTGTCACAACAAAAAGATGCCGTTTGTGGAAAAGAGGAAACGGCCGTGAGACCATTTTTCCTGAACAGGCAATTGTTTGTGCGGGTTCGAAGGTCCACGTGTGGCAAAAATATACAAGTGTATCTTAAAATGCATGTTCTTTTTCAATTTTTTGCCCAAACAGTTTACTGTTGGGGTTCTCTCTTAGGAAAAATAGCTGGCCACACTGGCTGAGCTGGCCACGCCCCTGAATTCTGTGTCCGGGCTCCGTGTCCGGGTCTTGTCCTCCTTTTTCTCCTGCTGTTGTCCCTCTGGCCGCGCTGGCCAACCCTGTGTCCTCCTCTTGTCCTGGTGTGCTCCTGCTGTCCTGTGTCCTCCTCTTGTATTCCTGCTATTTGCAACCCGTTTTGTCCAGGCCTTGTCAGGGTCTGTCCTGCTTGTCGTCGCTGTCGGCCCTTCATCACCGCTTTGTCCTGGTCTTACCCCCTGCTTGGCAACCCCGCTTTCCCTTTCTCCACCGTTTTGCCCGGGCACGTTTTCTTGCGGTTCTGAATGGGACAATGAGGCAGCATTTGGTATCATCCCCGGATTTTCTCATGACATATATATATATAGGCCAATTTATATACTGTATCCCTTCATACTTACACATGTGAAAATCCCATGTCAGGAACACTTGTTTTCTGACTTTTTTTGTTTTCATGCAACTCCCAGTGCAAACGTTACATCAGACATCGGAACTCAAGGAGTTGACGCCAAAAACTAATGCTGAAACTGTTTGGGGTCTATGCTGACATGTATATATATATATATACACACACACACATATATATATATATACACACATTCTTTTTCCCTCTCTCTTTCTCTCTATGTGTGTGCGTAGTTGTGTGCGTGTTTGTGCACACTCAGTTGTGTCATTTTTCACGCCCATTCCATTGCCACTTCCATTTCCCCCACCGCCTCACTGGCATTTACACCTGAACTGGCCACTTTCGTCGCACCAAATGCCAGGTTCCAGCCGACGGGGGCCGTCCTGCGACCACTGGGATCCGTTTCCACCTCACTTTGGTGCCGCAGTTGGTCGTCTCAGAGGCAGTGGGCCCACCTGTAGCAGGAATGAGGGAATGGAATGGAGGTAAAGGAATCTATAGTGGAAGGGTTCATTCCCTCGTACGCTACTTAGCACCAGTCTGTGCATGACCGCTTGTTAGCTACATATAGTCATAGTCATATGAACACAAGATGAAACATAATCCACGCTTAAGGCTACTCTTGCGTGTGCACAGCGTGCGATCAATTAAGGGAAAACGTCGGCAGAGATGCAATGACCAAGCAGTGAATTTCTATACTGCCTGGTGGCACGTGGTGCCCATTCATTCTTTGAGCAAACTGAGCACACGAAGCCAGACGGCTTGGGTGTCCAAACAAACGGAACACGAGGCCGACCTCATGTTCTCAAAGAGCTCCAACCCTGGCATGTTTGCAGCAGAACTGGCCGAGAAGATCCGAGCGAGGAATCTGGTGACGCTGTCGGGCATGGGGGAGCTCCCGATGTCCTTGGCTTTGAAGGTGAGGAAACATAAAGATCAACAAGCCAATAAGATACCGTTATAAGTTATATACCTGAAACAGACAACCGCTTGGAAAAGAACATGAAACTGGACCTGGATGTATTTTTTGGCAACCGGCCCTAGCTGCTAGGGAGTGTTGGAGATTACAGACTCGTAAGGGGTGTAGCTGTGTAGCTGTGTGTCTCTGTGTTGTTCGTTAGCTCGGAGACTGATCTCATTTGGAGGCTATGCTCATTGCCCGGAAGCATTTGCAACTGAAAGACGATGAGGCATTGCTTGCCATCCCCTTGGTACAGGACCAGTCTGGGGAATGCCTGGCGATGGCCTCACAAGATTTATAATGTCGACGTCGGATTAATCAACGGCCCCCCCCCCCCTAGAAGGTCAACAAGGTCAACAAGGTCTGAGATTGGAGGTTTTGGAGATCACATCCCCCTAATAGTGGGGATGACCTGATGATGACAGGAGGAGGAGATGACATGGGATGGAATGATGAGATCCATGAGAGCCCAAATACTAATTCCCTTTCATCATGAGATCCATGAGAGCTTATTGGCACAAATTTGATTTCTGAGATGATGAAAGGGAACTTGATTTGGAAGAATCGGAATGAAAGGGAATTAGTATTTGGAAGAATTGAGATGAAAGGGAATTAGTAATTGGAAGAATTGGAATGAAAGGGAATTAGTATTTGGAAGAATTGGAATGAAAGGGAATTAGTATTTGGAAGGGTTGGGATGAAAGGGAATTAGTATTTGGAAGAATTGGAATGAAAGGGAGTTAGTATTTGGAAGAGCTGGGATGGAATGATGAGATCCATGAGAGCCCAAATACTAATTCCCTTTCATCATGAGGTCCATGAGAGCTCACCATGGATGGGGTTGACTAATAGGGGGGGGTACCCCACTATTAGAGGGGGGTAGGGGGTGTATGAGGGGTACCCTTTCTGAGCTTCTCAAATTGCAGATTTTGATAGAGTTTTAATAAGGGAAAATGAAAGAATTTTCCTAGAGAGTTTTTGGAAATTCTAGGAAAGCTGTTGCTTTGGGAGAGCATTGGTAATCAATCAGAAGATCAGTTTCACCATGGTAAGACAAGAAAATATTGAAAAGGCAAAAAGAACAAAACTAATTAAACACACATATATATTTGAATAATTGTATTTTTCCTGGGGGGACAGGGGGTAGACTAATAGGGGGGGGTTTCAGCCAAACAAATTTTTTATTAGAGGGTGGTGACTGTGGAAATTCATAGTTCAAATTAGTTTATTATAGGGGCCTGAACGCTGGGTAGACTAATAGGGGGGGGGTTCCCTAATCCTAGGTTGACATTAGTTAGTTCACCTCACCTCCCTCACTTCAATAGAACGCATCAGCAGATCATGCAAGTTCCAACCCGTGAAAAAAGTATCCCGGCAAGAGACCCCAAACAGTGTGTGTGTGTGTTAACACCTGTTCCTAAGGTTTGTGCCTAGTCGGTTTCTAGAGGGCTGGTTGCTCTTGGCCTTGCTACTAGGAACTAGAGGTTTCTAGCGCCCCAGAGCTCGCCACTACTTGAGCACGAAGAGGCAGGGATGCGGAAAAAAGCAGGGGCGTACGGCTCGTCATACCCACCGTACGCAACGAAGCTATGGTATGACGAGGGAAGGGTGGACTGATCATCCACCTGTACCTGCTTAACTTTTAAGCTTTGCTGGAGCAGTCTTGCATAAACATTGTTCAACGATACAATTGCGCCGACTCTTTCACCTTTCCGTTCCATCGCCATTTTCTCCTGGGAATTGAGTTAACTGAAAACCAATGTCAGAGTGTGAACCGCTCAGCCGTCCCACTTGGGTGCTGGGTGTGATCCCCGTGACAGGGGCGCTGAATTCATGCTGGAAATCGTGTAGCTGACTTATTCTGTCCACCACTTCTGGAGTTTCATAACAGCTTTCGTTTCACCACTGAAGTAACTGCCTTTCGAGCCGCCGGGCTAATACGGTTACCACCATTCGATTACTGAACCTTCGGATCATCTCGCATGCTGCTAAGTATTCGCTTGTCTACGTCATGCTGCTAAGTATTCACCGGCCAGGTTCGGTCGACTGTGACTTTCGGACGGCTTCGGGTTTGCTCGAGGCTTTAGGTTTAGGTAAAGAGTTGCTCGAGGTCTTTCAGGTTTCAGGTGAAACTGTTGCACCTTTTGCGACCGAGCGGGGCGAGGGTTCGGCACGTGAACAACTAAGTAATCTTTTCTGGTTCTTTTGGTTTTTCTTTCTTGCTGTTGCTTTTCGTTTTCTTGAGGCCTTTCTTTAGGTTTCAGGTGCCTTTCAGACGGGTTGCGCCGGCCCAAATCGGCTTTGCTTGAATGCCAATGATGGCAATGCCTTCGGGTTTTTTCCCTCCCTACCCCAGGCCTCTGTTGCTCTCCCACCCGCTATTCGGGCAACAGAAGGAAATCGCACTCAACACACTTGTGTGTTGGTGCCTTTCCTTTTGTTTCTCCTATCCTATTGCTAGCTACCCGAGCGGTTTAAGACAAAAGTCCCGCTCGCGAACTGCTTTCATTTAACTAAGTGGGCCTCGTCACTATACCTATCTTTCTTTCCTGCCCTCTTAGTCTGCTCTTGTTTTGTTTTCTTTGTCTGTCTTTCTCCGGCTCTTTAGGTGACTAGTAGCCTTTTGGAACGCCAATATTGGCGTTATGCGTGCAAAGCCGTTGCCAACAGACAGAGCGCCGAACGCGGCATCCTGTGCGTGTTAATACCTGTTCCTAAGGTTTGTGCCTAGTCGGTTTCTAGACGGCTGGTTGCTCTTGGCCTTGCTACTAGGAACTAGAGGTTTCTAGCGCCCCAGAGCTCGCCACTACTTGAGCACGAAGAGGCAGGGATGCGGAAAAAAGCAGGGGCGTACGGCTCATCCACCTGTACCTGCTTAACTTTTAAGCTTTGCTGGAGCAGCCTTGCATAAACATTGTTCAACAATACAATTGCGCCGACTCTTTCACCTTTCCGTTCCATCGCCATTTTCTCCTGGGAATTGAGTTAACTGAAAACCAATCTCAGAGTGTGTGTGAGGTCTAGAGGTGAGTCTAGAGGTGTAGTAGCAGAAAGTCTAGGGGTCCAGAAGGTGGAGATCGTGGTGATGGTGGTGAGTGAGTGAGTGAGTGAGTGAGTG